AAAAGAGAAACAGACACAGATATAGAGAACAGACTGACATCTGTCAGTGTCCAGGAGGGGAGTTGGGGAACTGGGTGAAAAAGGTGAAGGACTGAGCAAAAAAACGCCAAAACTTATAGACACAGACAATAGTATGGTGATTAAGGAAAGAGAGTTAGAGGAGGTGGAAGAAGGTAAAGCGGGGATAAATGATGATGGAAGGATACTGGACTAGGGCGGTGAACACACAACACAGTGTACAGATCATGTGTTGAGGGATTGTGCACTTGAGACCTGTATAATTTTATTAGTGTCACCCCAATAAGTTCAATAAAAAACGAAACAACCTAAAACTAATTAGCATTTTCTATTATTTTAGAAAAACAATCTCCTTCTCTTGAAAAAAATCCATTTAATAAATATTACAAAACATTATGCTGTGTTTGCTCATGTTCATTTTGAACATGGTTATTTTTAATGATAGATTAAGTAATGGTTCAAAGCTCCCGTTAAGGTCAGATGAATGCAGTTGTCATGTAGGTAAATGGGTTAAGATTGCATAATTTTCTCTGTAGTAAAATGAAAAAACTCATTACAATTGATATAGAATACAGAAATGAAGCCAACAAGTTTGTATAGCTGTAATTATTAACTTTGTGAAAATTTAGAGCCAGTTTAACAGAATAAAGGGTGAAAATCTCCAATCTATTAATATTAGGCTCGAATTAGCTAGCTGGATAATTTTAGCCCACATGGGCTTGTTCTTTTCCATCTTTCCAAGACACCCAACAGTAGTTCAAGGCTGTAGGCCAACTATTCTGAATTTCTTCCTCCTTGTCTTCTATGAGGTTAATTTGTCAGTTCAGAGCATACCAGAAGGAAAGGAAAGGAATAGTTATTTAGAGCCTATGGTGCAGCATGAAATAGGTATTATTCCCATTTTACAGTAAGGAAACCTAGGCTCCCAAGAGGTTCATTTCCTTGCCCAAGAGCCCACAGATTTGGGTTCTGAGTAAAGTTTTCTCTGACTACAAATCCTACACAATTTGCTCTCCTGAGTACAATACTATGGTCCTACTGATTTTAATTACATTTAAACTTTAAGGAAATATTAATCCTACTTGGCTTGAATCACTTTTGATATTAATTAGAAGTTCATAATTTTTGAGGAATCTTCCACCATTGGGGGTTTGTGATTGGAAATGTCTGGGACAACCCTGTGGTGCTGATTCTGAGAGCTGGACAAATATGATGGTGCTTTATACATAGTTCAACCAAACTTGCATCCAAATTGTTTAATAGTTAACTGCTCTTTCTGTGGCATTTTATAAATGACTATATTGGTTTGCTAAACAGCACTCCCCCAAATACTAATATTAGAATCCAGTAGTGGGTGGAGACATTTTTCTGTCATGTAGATGTGCTAAAATCCCTAAAATGCACAGAGCTATGACAAACACATAGAACACAATAATTTCAGTATTTTCAACCATGTTGTGAGAGAAGGAAGTATGTTTTTATGTTTAGTAGTAGTATTATCCTTCAAATAAAAAAGTAAAATAAGTGTTTTAGTGTCAATAAAATATGCAGTTGTTTAATATATAGTTGTACTGAGCCATCCATGTTCCCTTTTCCTCCTTGATACCAATGAGAAAACATGTTAGTTTTATTCTCTAGCCCAAGAATAATTTATATCAGTTGATACCTCCTTCCATCTCTTTTTCACTTATCTCCTCTTATTATATTTGACTAAGGAATTAACTTTATGCACCTATGTAAACATATTTGAAGCATATATTTATGGATCCATATCTACAGATACACACATGCACATGTACCTTCATAATCATAGGCACACATATACAACATAAGGTATTTCTTAGTAATTAGACATTTAATCTTGAATGATTAATAAAATATAAATTGTAATACTAATAAAGATTTTATGGTATGCAAACAAGTAATGCTTAAAATGTGCAATTTAAAAATTAATGCACTAAAATTTCTGCTTCTAGGTTGGGTGGAGTGAACAGGTAAAAATCTATGAGAACACATAGCAAATCTATGTAAAATATAAAAAGTGAACAGTTAAAGGGATCAAAGAACTGCTGAAATAACAGGAAAAGACTCTGAATAGGAAAGAAACCTGGAGAGGTGAGGGAAGATTTTACAGCTGATTTTGTTGATTCTGGGCTTTGGCAAAAATCCAGACTTGGCCTAGGAAGAACACCACTGCTGGGGGTTAGAGAAACCATCACTGAATTGAGGAAACTTGAGGGACTGAAGTGACAAAATAGACTTGAGAGATCTCAAACACACGGCCATTTATCTCATGGCGACATTTGTCAAATTCTGAAGCTACAAGGTCTGGAGGCAAAAAACTAAGCTAAACCCCCTGAAAAACAACATAAATTTTTTGACAGTCTTGCACTACTGAGAAGAAAAGCACTTTTAAAATATTGGTGTTCAAGACCTGCCACTGGGCAGCCTCCACATGAACATACTAGGCCAGAGTTTGTCCTGGGGACCAAATCCAGCCTGCCATTATTTTTGGTATGGTCCACAAGCTAATAACAGTTTAAACATTTTTAAATGGTTGAGAAAAAAATAAATATCAATATTTTGTTATGTGAAAATACATGAATCTCTAATTTCTGTGTCCATAAACAAAGTTGTATCAGAATATATTCAAGCTCTTTATTTACAAATTGACTTTGGCCACTTTTGCACAACAGTGAGTGGTTGCAAAGAGACTGAATGACCTGCAAAGCTTAATCTATTTACTTCCTGACTCTTTACAGTATATGTTTGCTGACCTGCAATAGACCTTAGTTAAAATCCTGGGTGGGTGGGCAAACACCCTAAGAACAAGAGCAAACCAGAGACAGATGGCATTTTCCCAAAATTCAACCCAATCTCCTGTTGGCTCAGCTCCATACTGGATTGAGATACACTTAGCCTTCCACTCCATTTCCCCAGCAGAATAAAGATAAATCTTTGCTGGAGAAAGATATCATCATCTTGAGCTTCTACAAAATTTTAATATACATTTTACACACACTCCAGCATTCAGAAAATTATTCTACTAACTTTATTTGATCTGAGTTGAGCTGGGATACTTATAAAGAAGCCTGACTTAACTAGCAGACTCAACATCAATCTATTAATAGCCAACATTTTAAACAAGCAATTTTAATCTATGTGATTTAAAGAAAAGAAAAATAAAACAGAAGTAACAGTGTTATCTAAAAGCACTTCTCTTGACAAGAAAACTTAAAATATATGTTTGGAGTATATAGCATTGTAACTAAGTAGACGCTAGTTTCCATTGTAAAACATCCCAATAATAAAATAAATAAAATCTATGAATTATTCATTTTGTAGGAAATGAAAACAAATAGCAATTGACCAGTTATAAATCATTCTGAGCTGTAAGATTGTATTCTGAAACTCGTTTATCAATGTCATGTGACTCACATCATATTTCAGGAATCTACCATCCTGAGAAGACAGACAAGTGTCAATGTGGGAAAAACCAATAACACAGAAATATTAGAATTATGCAATATGTTACGCCTACATTGCTCCCAGAATTTTAAAATTTGGCTTTAATAGACTTTTATACTGAAAAGAACAACCCAAAGGAACAAGACAGCTGAGAAGTTCAATGTCACCAAACTGCAAAAACATCAAATTTATTTTAATTAGTATATACTAAGCTTTCACATCTGTGGCACAAATAAATCATAACTCACAGGTATAATAGATCAACTCATTTTAATTTATAATCTATCACTGCAACAGGTCTTTATATTGTCAGTGAAATGTAACCTAATTGTGCCCAAAAGTCCAAGCGATGTAATAACTTTATGGAATTCGAGCACATACATTGTACCATTATATAGATGGCAGATATAGCTATGAATATACAATTATACGTAGATAGTGTTTAGAAACTGGACACTTATGCATTCAAATGTGCAGATATAAATTGTATACTCCCATTTTTTAAATTTAACTCAGTATAACTAGCTTATGAACATTTCCCTTATAACATAGGAATACATAATATTTTCTAGGTACTATTTGAGAAAGCCAGAACTGCTGTTAAAACAATAGGATTTTTGGAATTAAAGACTTTTTTAAAAAGTTGACTTTTAAAAGAGTTTTTACAAAGTATAAATACCTCTCATCACTTTTTCTGCTTTTAAGAATTCTTCAGTGTGAGAGATGCCTCTGAATAAGCCTCTAGTAATCTGATTTGTTAAAGGCTGTGAAATAATAAATCATCAGGAGAGTATGCTATTTATCATTTTAGACAAGTTATAAACTTGTCTTAACATTACACTCTATATTTTAAAAAATTATAATTATCTTCAGTAACAGACTTCATCTGTGTAATTTCCTATTTTGGAAACAAGGTTTACATTCATCTAATCCTCAAAAGTGTTTTAAAAAATTCTTCACATACATGGAAACAGTCAATTTTTAAGCAAATTAATGGGAACTAGAAAATACTAAGGATAACCCAGCACATTCATGAAATTCATTATTTTTATTTAAATGTCTGATGAAAGGAAAGGAGCCATATGTATAGATCTTCATTTCACCGATTCCTTAATAACTAGCAGAATATTATGTTTCAAAACACAAACATTTATAGTTTCATAATACTGTTTCTCTACATATCATATTTAATTCCAATGGAAAGATCAGAGTCCTCAGAGAAGCATACTGCAAACAAAAAGTCCTTAGTAGGTGGTGGAAAGTCAGGCCAGGAGTCAGACAGAACCGGCAGAGATGACAGAGACGTGAGATCCAGCACAGCCTCCTCAGAAAAAGGAAACCACATGGCAGTGCTGAAACGCCGAGTCCATTCTCTCTCCTCTCTGAGCATTTAATATTACATCTTTAAAACTGCTTCAACTAGATTATTGCTTCTTTAGGTGAGACCCTCTTTTAAGAAACACAAACATTCTAGAAGTGCAATGCCAAAACACCATAAAAACTTAATAACCTACCATTTTCTTTGCACTCTTCTGGAGGTTTAGCCTTTTTCGCAAGTCGTGGATCCAGCCATGATGTTGTCTTTGTGTTATGGCTGAAAGGAAAAGAGATCACTCTGAACAGACACATACTGAAAGGAATCAAGTTTATTCCCTAAGAAAAAAAGGAGGGGGGGGGTTAGTCCAACAAAATTGCAATCGATACACTTAATTTGCTTACTGGTTCTAAGTAGCCCTGAAGGAGGTGTAAGAGTAATTGTGCAAGGCAGCTGTAAATTTGGCAACCTCAGCTCCCTGTCCTCAAAGCAGCTATTTTTATTAAAATCAACTAGAATGTTGCCAAGTTAACCTCATTGAAAATGCAGAACTCATCCAGAGCACAAGGAATTTATTACAAATACAGGATTCTCCAGTTGGAAGAGCACAGTTTGCAGGCTCTTATCCTGTTTCCTGAGTTTTGCAAAATAATTATTTCCACCTTAAACCTACCCTTTTCATAAACAGTTGTTTTGTTACTCTTTAACTACAGAGCTGGTAGAGGCAGTACAAAAGTGATGCAAATTATATCATGTTCTTGGGATTCCTGAATTTTTTCAAAAAGTGATTAATAATAGCAATTTCATTAACCCACATTTAGCTATCTTCCATATAAATACTTTGAATCCAGCTAGGGAGGTAGGAGGTAAACATGTCTGTAATCTAATTCTTGTGGAATGTAATCTCTGAGATTTAATAATAATTTTAATGGCATTTTTGTTTTGAAAACCATTTTCTAGAAACTTTAAAAAAGGAGATGTTTTTAGAGCAGTTTCTCTCAAAGAGGTCCTGGACTCACTTGTGTTAAAATCACCTGGTGAACTTATTAACATTGCGTATTCTGGGTGGTTATAGAACTACCAAATCCGAATCTTTGGGGATGGGTCCACAAAAATCTCCATTATTGGCAAGGTGATTCTTATGCACATTCCAACTTTAGTACTGCTCAGTGGCTCATAACTGCTCATTGGAGCTAAAAATCTTTGCTGTATATAGTTGTCTCAAGTGATCTCATCTACCAATGGACAAATTATCAAGGATGTGACATTTGTGTGGGCTTTGGAAAGAGAATGAGCAGCCACAGGTGTGGAAAAGTGTCAGGTCTATACAAGGAAGAGTCAGAGGCCAGTGAATGCAACATGGAAAGGAAGTGTGGAAAATAAGTTGGAAACATAAATTAGAGTGAGACAATAGGGATATTTGAACACAATTTTATGAAAGTCAAAATGATAATGATGATATCCATTTGACATGTATTTTCTCTTTCTTCAATGAAATTTAACTGTATTTTATCATATCAGGGACACAGGTGTTAGCTAGATAAGCTAATGAACCAATCTGCCCTTGAAGCAAATGTCAGAAATATCTCCCAGGCAGCATATTCAATAGCAAACTTCTAGAGACTAAGTGCCTACCTAATGAAGGGAAATGTCAAGGCAGGAAGGAGGAAAGATGGAGACAAGATGGGCAATGGGGAAACAAGTCCAAGGTGTTAAAGCATTCTTTAAATAACGTTTTCTCAATGATCATCCTGCCTGCCTATGTGTAGAGCTATCTATGACTTGAGAACTGAGATATTAAGATCCTTGGGTCATGAAGTTTCTGCTCCTGAAGAAGATTCCCTTTTATTTCTGACTTTTGTGTGGGCTAAAGAGAAAATTCCCCCCGTCATATTCTTTACCTAAAAACTCCTTCATGATGTATGCCTCTGAGTGGGGATCAAATAATTTGATCAGATAAAGACTGTGAATTTGGTCAAATTATAAATCATTGAGAGAGCAGGCTAGCTTTTATTTTCTCCTGGCTTGACCTTTGTAAAGTCAGATGGTGCTTCATTATCAAATTTCAGAAGGATGTAAAATATTGTGACACTTTGGTCTCCTTTGGTCCTCATTTGTAGTCATGTCAATATCATCTAATCTTTTCCTCCAAACTAAAGGCTTGACGCCCAGGAATGGAGGATATGACTATCCCAAGTATGAGGACAGTAATACTGGTTCAGTGTTTGGTGCTCTCATTTTGAAAACACACACACACACATCACTTTAAAAATGCTCTTTATAGACATGCCTCAGTTCAAAGTGTGTGTCTGTGTGTGTGTGTGTATGTTGATGTCTATGTTTTTATGCACTAGCAGAAATGTTGGAAGATGGGCAAGGAAAATAAATTTCCCTTCTTTTTACTCATATCTTCTTCCAAATCCTCCATTTTGGTGAAATGTCATTTCTAGGTCTCTAAGACATGTTCACAAAAGCAAACACATCTGTGGATAAGTATTAAGGGGCCATTACTAAGCCACTGCAGGGAGTCAAATTATCATTTCCATATCTCACCACTATGGATCTCACATACTGGCTAATGTAGAATAGAACTGTGAGTTTTCTACCTTTCCTGAGTTTATATAAAGCATTTCATTACAGGATGATTTTTTAGGTTGAACTAGCATTAATGGTATGTCACTTTAATACCTTTTGACAGATTGAGTCTCTTAGAGTTAACAGCATTTTTAGCTGATCCTTTGAAATGATTCTGAAAGGAAAGTGGGTAGTAGTTACCTCCAGTAATTGTCTTAAACATCACCTGAAGATATGGCACAGTATTTTTCAATAGTGGCTCTCACGAGCCTTGTAATTTATATGCTTCTTCAATGTGTCTTACCAAGGAGACATTTTTAATGCATTTGGGAGACAACAGACCAAGTGGCCTTCCCACTTCCTTTAAATTATATATTTTTAACATCAACAATTCCATTTGAAAATAGGATTAAACATTGGGCAGAAAGCTGTGTAGAAAATGGGACCATTGAGGGATTTTTCACAATCTGCATACTACCTTTCTTCAGATTTGAAGATGACTTTTCTTTCACTTTTATTGCTACACTAGTCAGAATAGGGCAACAAGTGTTTCTTGTTTGTTTTTATTTTTGTTTTGTATCTACCCAAGTTGTGTGGAGCACAAATGACAGGCAGGTATGATTCTAATGTTATACAAACTTGTATTTCAATACTAGTTTCTTTAACAGACACTCATGCACATATATATGCTGCATTTGCAAAGAAGCCTTTCTTTTTCTAGCTGTGGAATGGAACACATATTTTCTAGAAATTTTAAATCATAATAATATACTACTCTATTTATTTTTACAGATAAAGTTAATGTGATGATCTTGAACAGTGAATGGTCAAGTGCACTAAACTCCATAGCAAGTCAAGTTCAATCAATGTCATATTAAGAAATTTGGATGAAAACCTTTAAAATGGCTTACCCAAAACTCTTCTGTAATGTTATAAAGTCTATACTGAGTCTGTCTGGAACAAACAAGAAGTGAAATTTCACTCAACTCTGAAATTCTAGTTTAAATTCATATCATAATGTCACTGTAGACATGTGATAAGCTGACTAGTAATGAACCAGAAATTTGTGTATATTTTATAAGTTTAACCTTTTCCAAACAGTCAAGAGAAGCAGGTTAAATTATATCATTGTATTTTCTGAGGAAACATTCTTGTCACATAGAAAATGCTTTACTTCAACAGGGAAAGCAGCTGGCATTCTGGCACACGGTTTCAAAATTATTCCCACTATCTCATGAATGTGATGATTGTCTGCTTTGTCAGGGACTGCACTAGGACTGCATGCATCACCTTATTGTGATTATGGCTACATATTTTTAACTCCATTTTACAGATAGAGAAACAAAGGCTGAGAGAAGCTAGGCAACTTGCCCAAGGCTACACAGCTAATGGATGAAAGGGAAAGAGCTAGTAAAGGGAAACAAGAATCTGCCACCCTGAAGTTGCCCTTTTGAGACATTGACTTTAAGTTGTTTATTAAAAAACAAGATTCAGAAGCTTTGACCCTGCCCCCTTTCCTGGCCAAGAGATTCAGGCAGAGAAATCTGCTTCAGGAAAGAGAGTTTAGGATATCCCCTTAGCCTAATTTGAATTAGGTATGGTAAACAAAAGGGCTTTAGGCAGGTACCTGATAGCTAGATACAAGCCCATTATTTCTGAGTTGCCTAAAATAATTTGCCTGCCATATATGTTCCCCTCTTCCTCAATTACCTAAATCACTGATTCTCACTTCTGAAATCTAATACCCCCTTCCCCCTTTCCCCTTTGTCCAAAATGTCTCATTTACCCAATGTTGCCTCACTGTCTTTAAAATTATCATGCCTATGTGAATTCCCCAGGTACATGTATTAAAACTTTGCCTCCTGTTAATCTGCCTGTTAATATATTAGCCCAGCCAGAAGAACTTAGAAGGTGGGAGGAAAAGTATTAATACTTTTTTAACCCTCACATTGTTGGTGGCAGAAATAGTAATATGCTCTGTTGACCATGATTGTTAGCTATAGTTATAAGAAACATTGATCGTGTTCTGTTAACTGTGATTGTTCTGTTCTAATTAGAAAAAGCACTTTCTAACCTGGCTGGGGGTTGTATGTCCTGGGACATGGAAGTTGACTTTGGAATTCAAACCATTCTCCTTAATTGCCTATCATCATGGAAAGATGAACAACCTTGTAGCAGAAACAAAGGAGTCCCAGAGGTGCTCCATAGATTTGCAAACACCCAGCCAGAAACCCACTCCACTTGTGGAGGTGCCTCACCCTTTTGCAACTCCCAGACCACATTTGCATTTCCTGTAACCTGTAAACCACTATACCCATATTGTGGGTATATTCTTTTTGCCCGCTTCCCCAAGTAATCTTTGTACTTCTACCCAATATAATGAACTGGCTTCTGGGGGGTGGGTTAGAGCAGATTTTGTGTGGACAAATCCTTCTGTTCTCCAATTTTGCCAGCAATAATGGAATAAAATCTTCATATATGATTCAACCACATCTCTGCTTAATTGGCTGAAGTAGCAACAGGCAAGGACACATTGTGTCTGATTTCAACATTAGCTTTAAACCCAGATATATATGATTCCCAAGTCTAAAGTTTTTAATGATCTGAAACCAAAGGCATAATAAACCTAACATTTTGCTTTTTATACTGAGGTGCTTTATTTTACAGCCTCAAAAGGTAATCAGTTCCTTTGCCAGTGGTTTAGA